AAAAAAAAAAAAAAAGGAAAAAAAAAAAAAAGAAGATCCCTTGGGTCGAATAGCTTGTGATTCCAACATTCTAGGAGTCTGTGATTCTAACACTCCAGTCTTCAGAGTCTTTGATTTAGATCAGGGGTCAGCAAATCTGGCTTAGTGCTTGTTTTTGTAAGTAAACTTTTGTTGACACAGCCATGCCCATTTGATCTATGTCTGCTTCCACACTACTGGAGCAGAGTTGAGAGGATGTGACCGAAAACTGGAGTGACTGTTTTAGCCACAAAAATGAAAATATTTACTTTCTTTTTACTGAAGAAATTTACCAACCCTTTATCTAAGATATGTAAAGATTCTAAGATGGATGGTGATTTCACAGATGTTTATTTTCTGATTGTGCTTTATAACTTACACACATGTTGACATTCTTTTCCATGCATCAAATATCACATGCTATATATATACTTTTTTTTCTTTGTAATCAGTTTAACATTGCATGACCTAACATATAAGTACCAGCTATTCCAGAAGGGAACAAGATGTTTCAATGCAGGCAAATGTAAACAGGGCAATTCTTCATCACCAGTTTTCTTTGAATAGGCATAAATTGGTTACAATAATTTCCTATATGTCTTTTACCTTTTGGTTGTTGACTATGACTGTCCAATGTGGCAGAATTCTCACAAACTTCCAAGCATTAAAGTAGGATAACCCTCAATGGACAGGCATTGGGGGTTAGGACAGTAGGATAACCAACAAAGTCAGGCATCGTGTTCACACTGTTATCATTGCATCCGAAGCACTTCCCACAGGGCCTGGCACTTTGTAGGTTCATTTACCCTTTATTATAAAGGGCCAGGTCTGGGGGAGGGGCGTGGAGCTTCCATGCCCTCCCCCACGCGCCACCCTCCGGGAAACTCCAGCTGTCTGGAAGCCCTTCACATGCTGTATATTGTTCTGTATTTTATCGTTCAAAAGAGAAAAGATGTGGTTTCCCCATCTCAGCCACTTGCCCTGTCAGCATCCTACGGAATGCCAAAATTCATCCTATTTGGGGGTGAATGTGGTATAACGGTTTATTTATTTGTTGTTCTGAAAAATCACAGTAAGATGAAAAAACACAGAATTGGTGGCAGTTAGTACATTTCCAGTGTTGTGCAACCACAACTGCTATCCAGCTGCAGAGAGTTTTCACCACCCCAAAAGAAAAGCCATACCAGGTAAGCAGTCACTCTCCACTCCCCATCCTGTCGGACCCTGGCAACCACTAATCTGCATTCCGTCTCTATGGATTTGCTCGAATTCAACCTATTTTGACCTACAAAGATGGCAATTTCATGTGAGTTGACTTAATAATCTTCTAGGATGTTCTCATTCTAAGTTTCTCCGGGGAGGAAATGGTGGGTGAGTTGAGGGGCTGGTGGTCAGCATCTCATAGGGTGGTTAAGAAAGGACCCCCCCACAGAATGCCCCTCCCAGCCTTCTGAGGCCTGTAGAGACCCTGCTTTTGGCCCACAGCACCCCACACCCCCAGGTTAGAGCCCTCAGCTCCAGGGACACCAGTCAACCTCTGCATCCCAGAGAAACTTACACCCAGAGACTTAGTGGCTAGATAAGGAATTCGTCAAGATCAAGCAATCTGAGAAAGAGACTCCTGTAAATTCTTTAGGTCAGAGGAAGTTGGACCTGATAAAGGATAGCCTTCCACTGTCAGTTTCTTCCATCTTAAGTCTCTTCTTCTGACCAGGGCAGGTTCCCACAGGGGCCTAGGGTTGGCAGGATGTAGGAGATGAGGAAGTTCCCAGGATGGGGCAGGGGGGAGGGGACTGAGGGGACATTTGCCTCTATTGGGGTCTGGGGCCAGGCTTGGCCAAGAGAATATCAACCAGGGAAGGGACTGGAGATGCCCCAGGTCACAGATCGATTCCCTGCCTCTTTCCTCAGGAACGACTTCCTCTAACAGCGTGATTTTATTCTCTAAACAAGAAGAAAACAAAAGTATAAATATATCCCTTCAGCGTCTAAAGCTTGTGCAGGGAGGAGCACAGACACCGAGAAGTGCTGAATAAAGAGATTCCAAAGCCGGAGTTGGAGCCACTTCCTCTAGCTAAGCCTGCATTGCGTGAATGTGTATTTTAAGAATTTATATTGTATTCTTTGTTGTTGTTGTTAATTTCACAAACATGTACACAGCATATGTGCCAGGTGCTGTTCTGCATGTTTTAAATCTATTCACATATTTAATGCTCATGGCAACCGTCCACTTCACAGATGAGGAA